ATTTGCATACAATCACATTTAGATTTATTAAAGTAGAACTTAACTGTATCTGTTCACCACAAACAAAAATACTATTTCATTCATTTTTAATATATTAAGCAAACTCCCCCATCCATCCATGTCTCCGTGCTTTATTTTGTTGAGGAATCACTTTGAAAAACACCCACTAACATTTGTAGCTGGTGTGGCAGTGTGGTGTCCTGCCACGGTCAAAATCAAGCTGATAACCCTGGATTCTCAACCAGGCAGGTTGAGGGACTCCAGAAGATTGATGTAATGCAGAGGAAACTGGCTTTTCGGTTTCCTCATTTATTCATAGAGTCCGTTTTGGGATCTGGAGTCGGGAGATTTCAAAGAGATCTGGGAGGGATGAAATCTCCAATCCTGGGGCCAGGTTTTTGGTAATGGCCAGGACACCGATTGTACATATGGGTGCAGGGCTTTTTGTAGAGGCCTAACCCATGGTTCTGAGCTCCACCCTGGCAGACAGGAGGGTTCCTCTTCAGCAGACAGGAGGTCTCTGCCTTGGAGTCAGGTGGGCTTCACCTAGTGGAGGTGGAAGCCAGACAAGCTGTGTGCTATTGGCTAGCTGTGTGCGGGAGAGCCATAATTTGGATAGAGTCTGCAGGAGACAGATGGAAATCGGTGTACCAGCCAGAAGGCTGAATATCATTTGCATTTGTTTGATGTGGATACCCCTGCTTGGGAAGATTTATGGAACTTTTCCTTTAAATAAAATTGGGCAAAAAGGCCCTTAAAAAGAAGCAAGTTGCTGTGTGCTTTGAAGAAGCTCTACCATTTTGAAGCGAGTTCCCACATATGGTGGCGGATGCAGTGGGCAGAATTGGAGATCCCTGCAAAAGAAGTAAGTTCATCAGTGATACAAACTGTGTTTATGTGCCATAGACAGCACAATCTGTGTGTGCAGATGAGAAGAACCAGTTTGACAAAAGGAACTTGCCTTAAAGAGACAGTACTTCAGGTCTTGGTTGCAGGACTGTGCAAAAGTGTTGTGGAGTGACTGCAAAGATGGGGCGGTCAAAACTCAAAAAAGAAGCAAGATTTGCTGAAATGAGAGACAGAGCCCTGTGGCTGGAGGGGTTATCACCAGAACAAGCCCCATACATGTTTTAACAGAGGTTGCCACAGTGGGAAACTGCTGCTGTTGCCCCAGGCAACACTGGTGAAAGGAAACAAGCTTTCCATGTGCAGACTACAACGCTTGAAAAGAGGATGCAGTGTTGGAAGTCCGGCCAAGATAGTGCTGCAAGAGTGCTGTTTGCAGTGCAGTGAATGGGGGCACACAGTCTCCAAGTGCCCTTTATCCCAGCTTCCAGTACAAGGTGACACAACCAGACAAAGGTCTGGGTATGCAATTGGGAAGCCTGCTTTGAGTTCCAGGAAGGAGCAGCAGGCTGCCCAAAAGTTTCAGAAGAATGTGGTTGCCCATAGCAACACATGTGACTTCAGGCCTGTGGACCCTGTGAGAGAAGTGTCATCTGCAGAGGATTGTGGCAACGCAGAGATGAGAGTTCAGCGCATCTGGAGGAACCCATAAAGTTCAGCTGGGAGAGTGCCATCTCCCATAGCAACAGAAGAGAGCCTGCCAACCAGGAGAAGGGGCTACAAGGGAGATGTGGTTCCGTATCCCAAGAATGTAATCTGTGGAACCATACCCTGCCTGGAATGTGGTCAGTTTGGGCATGGTATCTTTACCTGCCCCAGGTTATGGAATACCACTGATGAGGGTGTTACTGGGCAAAAGTCTTCATCTGCAAGCCCAGATTCGTGTTTAAAAATGTTGGCAGCCACCTCTAGCAACAGTGAAGAAGTACCTGTTGTGCCTGCAGGGGGTGCCAAGGAGTCAGAAGTGCCGGCCACGATATCATCCTATAGCTGCATGGATGAACTGGCTGGCCAAAGCCAAGCAGAGGAGATGACAGGATCCAGATCCCACGCACCCAAGTGAAGAAGGTGAAGCCTGTTACAGTGGTGGGTAAGACTGGTACTTTGAGATAAATTTGAGAGGCACTGATTGAGACTGACTTTGAGACTCTCTGCTATAAATTTGGGATACTCCCAGTTGGGAAACCCACTGCTGGTGATTGTGAGAGAGACTTGCCTCGGTATAATGCTTTTAGTGGGGAGGCGACGGTTAAAAATGTCAATGTGAAGAGTACTGATATTGGGGTTGCACCAATGTCATATAAACAGAATGCTGAATTAAATGTAGTAGGGGTGACCACTAAGCAGGATGTGTTATCTCCCCTAGCAACGGTGGTTAAGGTAACCCAGGATAACTATGGTGTTGCTCTGGTGGACCAGAGTGTCTCTGAATTAAGTGATGAGAATTTGTTATTTCAGTGTGGCAATGGTGAATCTAAAAAGTATGAACTTATTCATAATGATGATGGGTTAATGCAATCTACTAATGCAAACGTTTTTGTAGTGAATGGCACATCTTACATCATTGTTATGAGCACAACTGTATACCTTCACTACAGCATCCATGAACATACAGTATGTGAGATATTGTTCCTGACCACCAGAGAGGAACCGCTGTTGACACATGACCCACAATGTTGTGTGGAACAGAGGTTCTCAACCACCAGGCCATGGCCTCCTTCCTCCTGGGCCTGCAGACAGCTGCAGATCCCCTGATCTACAAAAGTGCCTCCCAGCCCCTATAATGCCTCCCAGTGTCGCATAGTGCCTCTAGGTCCCCCTGAGAGCCTTAAGCCCTACAGTGCCTCCCCAGCCTTCCATGTTGTCCCTAAGCCCAGTGTAGTGCCCCATTCTGCTGTAGAGCTTCCAGCTCCCGTAGTGCACACAACCTCCAACAGTATCCCTCAGTGCTCCTTAACCTCCTCTCCGCCTCCGTCAGAAACTTCATAGTCTACAGGGCCACTAAGTCTGCTGCAGAGTCCCCTAACCCCCATCCAGAACCCCAAAGTGACACCCAGCCCCAACCAGAGCCTAGCAGCATATCAATACATGTTTTGCATCCCCATTACTTATTGTGTGAGTATAAAATTTTTTTTACTGCTGGGACATGAAAGGTTTTGAAAGAATTTACTGGATCAATATGTTTGAGAAGCACTGGTGTTGGAGAAATTTGGGGCACCGTGGTGTTGCTGCTAAGTTAGCACTTGGTTAGCATTTCTGCCTGGCAGTACTAGGGTTGTTGGCTCGAATCCCAACCATGGCAAAACCTACCTGGAGTTTGCATGTTCTCCCTGTATCTGCATGGGTTTCCTCCAGGTACTCCGGTTTCCTCCTACACTCCAAAGACATGCTGGTAAGTTAATTGGCTCCTGTCTAAATAGTATGTGTATGTATGAATGTAGGTTAGGGACCTTAGATTGTACGCCCCTTGAGGGTTAGGGACTTGTGTGAATGTACAATACATATATGTAAAGCGCTGCATAAATTGACAGTGCTATATAAGTACCTGAAATAAATAAATACGTTAAATTATGAGAGAATCTGTTGTAGTAACAGAATTCTCCTTCTGGAAGAGTGATAGTGTAGAAGAGTAGAAGCCTTCCTCTTGGCAGAATTTTTGCATAAAAAACACCTAGCGCTTGTAAAGGTTTTACAGGCTTCAAGTGTTTTGTCTTTCAATTCATTAGATAGAATTATTAATTTATTCTGGCAATTGAAATGAATTGGCACTCAAGCACTAAACATGGCTAGCGTCAACACATGTTTAGTCGTGCTTACATGCATCAAGCGTCTTTCTGCCAAAATGCTGGTGCTCCTGGATGCACTTTTTTTTTTTTTCCTGCCTGTAATTGCCCCTGCCATTAAAAGCTTCTAAAAGTCTATGTGTGCACGGACACATAGGATAACATGGAGGGGCATTTATAATCAGTAAAAAAAAAATAGCTTGACACTTCTAAAAAGTGGCTGCAAATACGCCCTGTGTGCATGAGGTCTTATGACAATATGAACACACTGGATTGTGCATTCAAATTTCTCTCTGAATGTTGCATTACCTACTTTGATATGCAGAAGTTGTAAGACACATATGCACACACCCACGTACATGTAGTCTTCATTCCCACAGGTGGACACCGGTTTTTGGCTGGAATTCCGGCTGCATCATGCTGCAACCGTGCCGCAATTGCATGCATTAGATTTGGTTGTGGTGCGGTCCCATTCACTGGAATGGGGTGCATTTGTCGGCATTTGTTGCCAGAAGCAACATCCTGTATAAAATTTGCTACAACCACTGCAATGTAAACAGACATGTCTGCCTACAATGTTAACTTGCTGATGAATGGATCGGGGAAAGAGGCCAAAAACGTAGACCTTGATCCATGGCTGAGAGTGTGAATAAGGCCTTATTGCCACACTCTTTGTAGCATTAAGCAAGTAGTTTATTATTATTATACAGGATTTATATAGCGCCAACAGTTTGCTCAGTGCTTTACAATATAAAAGGAGGCAATACAGTTCAATACAAGAGGGTTAGGAGGGCCCTGCTCCTTGGAGCTTACAATCTAAGAGGGAGGGGCTGGTGGTACAAAAGGTAATAGCTGTGGGGGATGGACTGGTAGGAGGAATAGAAGATTCCATTACTAGCCGAAGGCAGGATAGGCTTCCCTGAAAAGAGAGGTTTTCAGAGATCTCCTAAAAGTGGGCAGAGTAGGCAATAGTCGGATAGATTGGGGTAGAGAGCTCCAGAGGATGGGGGAGGCTTTGGAGAAGTCCTGGAGACGAGCATGGGAGGAGGAGACAAGGGAGCTAGAGAGCAGGAGGTCGTGCGAGGAGTGGAGAGGACAGTTTGGGTGATATTTGGAGACAAGATTGACAATGTAATTGGGGGCAGTTATAAATGGTTTTATGTTATTGTTAATGTTTTGAATTTTATTCATTGGCCAATGGGAAGCCAGTAAGTTCTGGCATAACTGGGTACAGTAGGTTTTTTATTTTATATATTTTTTTTTTTCATGGAGAGGCAGTGATGGTAATTAAAAATATATTGTTGATACCAGGTACACGTTGGAACTATGAGGGCAACCAGCGTGGGGTGGCTGAAACTTCGAAGTACTGACCCACGAGATCATCCCATTATCAATCCAAACTACCTTTCTACTGGTGAGTACAAAAACCATCAATCAATAAGAATAAAATGTGAAACTGACAATCCAAGATCAGAACTCCCAGTTCAATTCTAGAATGTTTCCTCTGTACTACTTTTCACCCAAGGCACAATTCAGAATATTGTTCTAATATATAATTAGCAGCTTCCAAAGCAATAAGTGCTTTTATTTATATTTCAGTTATAAAATACTGCTTTAGGACTCGTGTACACTGCAGCTGATGAACTCACTGTTCAGCGTTTTTTTTTCAGCAGCCCCTGAACTCGCCCTAATGTTTTCGTTTGAAATGTTTTTTTAACTCTTCCAGTTCCCGATGCTGTCCAGAGCCTTTTTTTCATCATGAAAAATGCATGCAAAGCATTCAATTTGTAATGACCAATTCACACCTCAGACCTCTCCCACCCTTGGAAACAAAAGATATGTTAATGAACATTCACACCTCAAATTCCTCATGAAGACCCCCTGCCAGGTGCCCTTAACCACTTCCCGACAGGCCGTTCTATATAAATGGCTGGACGGTGGCACTGGAGGGTCAGGTGGCCGTTTATAAATGGCCTCCCCCACACCCTGCTTGTGCGCGCTCCCCGGGAGTGCGCAGCACCGCGATCCGGTGCCCGCTGTGTCTTCTGGACACAGTGAAACACCGATTGTCGGACGGGACCTCTGTGTGAGGTCCCGCTCATGTGATCACTGATTGGCCAATCAGTGATCACATGCAAAGTAGTAAGCAAGATGTCACTTCTGACATCATTGCTTACTACATGTGAAATCTGTGAATGATCACAGAGGTCACATGGTACAAGGCTATTCACAACAGCCTTGTACCATGTGACAAGCTGTGACCAATCACAGCTCACTCAGTAGTTCTCAATGGCTGCAAGCATGCAGACAGAGAGAAAGAGAAATGATTGCTTTTACATCCTATATGGGTGTAAAAACAATCAATGTAAAAAAAAAAAAAAATCACCCTCCAAAAGTAGTACAGTGTCACCATGGTGACACTGTACGGCTAGGGTGACAGTATGTAGAAAAAAAAAACACAAAAAACTAAATAATATAAAAAAAAAATTGTGAAAGTTTAAAAATTATAATTTTTGGTTATAAACTAATTTGGCTTTTTTTTTTTTTTTTTTTTTTTTTTACTAAAAAGATAGAATAAATTTTGGCCAAGATTTATGATGAAATATTATTTATTTGCAAAAATTTTTATAAAACACTTTTTTTTTTTCAAAATTTTTGGACATTTTCATTTACATAGCAAAAAAAATAAAAATCCCAGCGGTGAATAAATACCACCAAAATAAAGTTTTATCTGTCTCAAAAAAATGGTAAAAAATTCATTGGGTACAGTGTTGCATGACCACGCAATTGTCATTCAAAGTGTGATAGCGCTGAAAATTGCCCTGGTCAGGAAGGGGGTAAAAGTGTCCAGACTGGAAGTGGTTAATGACTCACTCCACCAGACACCTTTCCCGCCCTTGGAAACAAAAGATATGTTAATGAGCAACTCACACCTAAACTAACCTGAACACATACTTCTGTGTCTGCTTCTACTCTCTGTATTTCTCTGAAACTGTCTGAAATGGTTAATAATTTACCACTTTTCAGTGCATTCTGGGCATTTGGGAGGTTCTCCTGTGCTTATCTTTAAAAAACACTTCTAAATGCAAACGCACATAAATGCGTTATGCAAACGCGGCTAAACAGATGTTTTTTAACCTACGTTTTCCAGCAGTCAGTTTCCATCATTCAGAAGTGTCCCGTGTACATGGGGCCTAATAGTAGGCAGGGTATGTTTTTGGAGCAGGAAGCAGTCCTAGACTAATGGTCTGGATTGTCTGGCATTTGCCAGAAGGGCTGAACTTAGCAGTTCTACTGTAAAGCTGATCTCCACCTTTAAAGGATAAGTTCACTTTTGGGAACATGTCACATGTTCCACACATTTTTAGGTTGTAACATATAACATGTTCCCGTAGCTGTGTCCGCCGCCCACACAGATAATACGGGGAGAAGTTTTGGTGTAGTATCTGTCAGAGTTGGAAACAGCGCGGCCATGCAGGGCACCACCCATGCGGTCCCGTCGTGCATTCACTGATCTCCACCTTTAAAGGATAAGTTCACTTTTGAGAACATGGTACATGTTCCACTCGTTTTTAGGTTGGAACATGTAACATGTTCCCATAGCTGCAGCTGTGCCTGCCCCCCCCCACCCCACCCCCCCCCCCCCCCCCCCGACAGATAATACGGGGAGAAGTTTTGCCGTACTATCTGTCAGATTTGAAAACAATGCGGCCATGATTGAACGACGTGGCCGCGTGGGAGGTGCGGGGAAACCATGCAGCCACGTCGTTCATTCACTGGTGCATTGTTCATTCACGGACTTCTGTGAATGAATGAACTGCAAGTCCCGGCAGCCTTAGTGGCTGTGGGCTTTTAGTTTTCAAGGAACTACCACGGCTCTGTGGAGCGCCGTGGTAGTTCATTGAAGTTTCCTGATGGAACATCTGCTTGGCCGTACAAGCAGATATTTTGACCGGTCTGAAGAAGATTTGCATGGCATTAACAACCTACTGTTCGCTGGTACAATCCTTTCCAGGCTCCTTTGGACAAAAATAATAAATACACTTTTTTTTTTTTTTAACCTGCAAAAAAATGTGTATTTATTATTTTTGTCTAAAAAGGTGAACTTATCCTTTAATGTCCCTTCAAATTGTTCGTTTGGGCCTGGCTGGCACAAATGAGCTATTAGCTGCCCTAATAGGTGCACTTGCTGGGCGCACTGTTTTAATTGTATTTAGTCTCAGATACATACAGTATACATCTTTGTGTTCCGGCAGTGGGATGAGGACTTCCTGTCCGAAATCTGAAACAAAATCGAGTCAGATTAGGTTTTGTATTCCGTGAATGAATATTTCCTAAAGCCCACCTTGATCCGAATAATTGAGTTAATCCAGTGCATAAAGATTAAATGTGTGATTCTTCCAATCGCATAAATATGCAGGGGCGAACTGACCATTTGGAAACTCGGGCTCTGCCCGGGGTTGGTAGGGGGCCCCATGAGATGCTCCTGGTACCTTTTTCATAGGCTTTTTTGAGTTTGGGCAAGGACACAGGGGCCCCATGATCCCCCTATTGCCCGAGGGCCCCATGAGTTGTCAGTCCGCCCCTGGCTTCAGTGTATTCCACCACTGTGTGTAATTACCAATAAAGGCCTCTTACCAAGTTTGTTGGACCATAAAATTATAAATAGTCAAAATCGATGATCACGCACGCTAGTCGGTTGGAGCCAGCATTTGTTTGTAACCATCAGCCTGCTAATTTTTATCTGTTTGATTGCAAGTGAATTTGCTTTTTTTATCCTGTTGGATTTATACTTTAGTCCATTAAAGGACTTTTTTTAAAACCTGCTACACAATGGAAGTGTTTATTTCTTTCAACCATGACCTTCTTTGGATGGGAGTGTGCTGACCTGCAGATCTTATGAAAAGAGCGGTGGAAGGTGTATGACCCAAAAGTGATTTTGACCTTTTATCATTTTATCATCCAACACATTTGGTAAGAGGCCATTATTGGCGATTACACACGGTGGTGGAATACACTGAAAAACATATTTATGCGATTTGGAGGAATCACACATTCAATCTTTTTCACTGGATTAATTCAATTATTCGGATTAAGGTGTACTGTATAAATGGACTACATATATAACCTGTGTGATACAGTATGTGATTATTGGTTATCTAGCGCTGCTTCTGTTTTTGTTCTGCACTTGTTAATTGGTATCACAATTGTGTAGTAGCTGCAGTTATACGTTTCTGACAGAGTGTGGATTTTTATTTGAATATTTGACTTATATGAATGGATATAAAGCTTCCTTTTGATTGGAAGATAACATCATCCACCCACCTCTCCACCTTAGCTTCCGTGAATGGCTGAGCAGTGCCCAGCCTAACTCTATATTGTCTCGGGAGTGAAACCAGAAGTTACAGTCCTGTATACTGTATGTAGCTGAAACTACATACAGTTCCCACAGCATGTCCAGCAAGCACACCTGTGCAATAAATAGATTATTTGGGCCAGCTTGGCCCAAACAAACTATTTAAAGGGACATTAAATGTGGAGATCAGCTTTAAAGGGTTCAAGCCTCTGCATGGTTTTTACTGCTGTGTGTACCTACACTGGGGATGTTAATTCCTGGCCAAGACATATATCAGGAAGTGAGGGGTAATCTCCCCATAGTGAAGGGAATCCCACTTTGGTCACTTGGACTAGATATGTGCGAATTGTTTCATTACGAATCACAATTCAGACAAAATTTTCGTTATTTGGAGAGTCGGATGTATCTGAAATTCTGAATCACAATATTTACGAATTTCAGCAAATCCACAATAAATTATAATGAAACAAATTATCCGAATTTGAATTAAAAAATGTATTTGGATTCGAAATGGAAACATACTGAAATAAATACAGTAATAAAAGTGAAATAAAATTATGATGATTCCTACTTGGGCTTCTCTATAGAATAGAATACAAAAGAATAGAACAGAATAGAATAATAAATAAAAGAATAGAATAAAATGGAATCAAATCAAAAATAAAGGAATGGAATAAAAAAAGAATAGAATAAAACAGAATATAATGCAAAAAAAATAACTGAATAGAAAATAAAGGAATAGAATAGAAAAGAAAATAATAGAATAGAAAAGAATAAAAAAAGAGTAGAATTGAATAGCGTAAAATAGACTAGAACGAATATAGCAGACTTCTGATATTTGAATTTAAAATTTGAAAATAACAAATATATGAAACAAATCCAAATATACAAAACAAATCATTCTAACATAACGACTATGATGAAACAAAGTACATTTTACCTTCATGCAAATCTCCAAGTTGGACAGGTGTCTATACTAGAAGCCTTCCCCTCCAATTCTGTTTCATTGATAATTGTAAAACTTTGTTTTTCACAGTTAGGACCCAAACTCAAAAGAAGAAAAAAATAACATGGTGGATATGCTATTTTTTCGACACTCTCTGTACATTTAGGAGAAGGTTTTGGCTGGAGGTCCACTAGCTAACAGGGTTGAGTTTTGGAGGAATTTGTATATTTTTTATTTGGTAAGTTTCACGGGCATGGTTATATGACAATCCCCAATCTAATTCCATTGGGGAGCAGAATTGTAGAACTCAATTGGTGAGTTGATGACGTATTTCGCTCTTGAAGTGACATCAAGCAAGGAAAATGGCCTAAAAACAGAATACGAAGTGATGACATCTCACTTCTTTTCATATTATGTTGACTTCACATTGTGATAACAGAAAAGTATATTAGATGTAACATATTGTTGTCTAAATGAGTCATTTATGAAGGTTAGTGTGTTGTGTATCAAGGTAAGTTTTTTTTTTTTTTTTTTTTTTTTTTTTTTTTTTTTTTTGCTGTTTAGGTGTAATTTGTGGACTGTTTTCCATGGTCAATTATCTTTGTAATTATCCTTCAAATTGTCCAAAATGTTGTAAAACATTTTCCCGGTATATATCATTTCACAGAAAAGGACATTGTAGATTTCCGGCAGTGCGTGAAGTTGTCCAGAGAGATTTTTGCTCAGAAAGCATTCGATGAATTCCGGGGCCCCGAAATACTTCCTGGTTCTAGTGTCCAGACAGATGAAGAGATTGATGCTTTCATTAGACAGAAGGCAGACACGGCCTATCACCCATCCTGCACCTGTAAAATGGGGCAGCCGAATGACACAAGTGCGGTTGTTGACCCAGAGACAAAGGTAATAGGTGTGGAAAATTTACGAGTTGTGGATGCCTCTATCATGCCCAGTGTTATAAGTGGGAATTTAAATGCACCAACAATTATGTTGGCAGAAAAGGCAGCTGATATCATTCAGAGGATTCCTCCTCTCGAGGAGCGAGATGTAGGTGTGTACAGACCTCAAACCCTGGAGACTCAACGGTAGTTATTTATCATCAATCTCTGTCTTCATAATTGAATGACATTTAGCTTGCTACAACATTGTGTATCAAAATTGGAATTTTATGTAGAAAATGCTATGTTCACCTTTTTTCAGCCTATTGCCGATCTCCTGCATCCACTGTGCAGCTCTACCTGTCTACATGCACCCCAGTAATGACTGTGACAATACTGGACAATTTCTGAGTAAACTGTTTTGAAATGACTGCTTCTAGTCTCCACTGGAAGAGCAGGTGACAGGGTAACAATGCAGGAGAACAGTTGGGAGCAGGGGTGGACTGACAACTCATGGGGCCCCCGGGCAATAGGGGATCATGGGGCCCCTATGTCCTTGCCCAAACTAAAAAAAAAAAGCCTATGAAAAAGGTACCAGGGGCATCTCATGGGGCCCCCTACTGACCCCGGGCCCTCGGGCAGTGCCTGAGTTTCCAAATGGTCAGTCCGCCCCTGGTTGGGAGAGAGGAACAGAGTGTTGCACCCTATAACTAGATGTGCCTACACAAGAACCTTCATGGCAGGATCAACAGGTATTCTTTTATGAAGGACTCAAGATTTAAAAATGATTGAAAATTACTTTTACCCCCTTAAATTTAGCAGTGCACTACTTTAACTGGTAATTGCGCAGTCATGCAAAGCTGTTCCCAAGCAAAATTTATATAATTTTTTCATACAAATAGAACTTTCTTTTAGTAGTGGTATTTGATCACCACTGGGTTTATTGTTTAGTATATAAAGGAAAATTTACAACAATTAAGTAAGTGTATATTGATTGGTTTGCGTGAAAGTTATAGAGTCTACAAACTATGGTGTATATACTTTTTTTTTTTTTTTTTTTTTTTTTTCTTTCTACTAATGGTGGTGATCAGCAACTTATAGTGGGACTGTGATATTGCGGTGGACACTGTTTGGAACAGCTGCCAATGAAATAGGTGTTTTTTACTCTATCGACTTTATCCACTTAAAGCGAAGTTCCACTCACCTGTCAAAAAATAAAAGTCAGCAGCTACAAAAACTGTAGCTGCTGACTTTTAAAAAAAAAAAAAACAGCCACTTACCTGTCCCTCAGTCCTGTGGTGTCCCCCCCCCCCCCCCCCCCCCCAGCCTGTTTCACCGGCCGTCCTGGATTCCAGAAGGCTGGCATCTTCAGTGTAGGCACCTGGCTGTGATAGCTTGCGGCTTCACAGCCAGGTACCCACTGCACATGCGCGAGTAGCGCTGCGCTTCATGAATGGTCCTGTAGTCTTCTGGGACCTGTCACGTTTCCCGAAAGACTACAGGAAGGGAGGACACCTTCCATTGATCGGACCGGAAATTGGAGCGGGTACCTGTCAAATTCAGGTACCCGCTCCCTCCAAAGCTGCCAATCCTTAATGGGGAGCGGGAGAGTAGTCGATAAAGCGGAACTTCCCCTTTTGGGTGGAGCTCCACTTTAAGCTTCAGAAGATTTTACCCCCTTCATGACCAGGGCATTTTTTTGCTACTTGGAACTGCGCTACTTTAACTAGCAATTGTGCTGTCTTGCAACACTGTACCAAAATTCAATTTAAATTGAATTTTTATTGACAGTTTTCTTTTGGTGGTATTTGATCACCACTGGGTATTTGTATATCTTATTATATAACAGAAAAGACCCAAAATTCTGAAACGCCCAATATTTTTTGCTTTCTGTTATAAAACATAACATTTTTTCAGAAATTTAGGCCAAAATGTATTCTGCTGAATGTTTTTGGTAAAAAAATCCCAATACGTGTATATTGATTGGTTTGTGTAAAATATATGGTGTCTACAAACAAGTGTGTGTGTGTGTGTGTGTGTGTGGTATACAGGTTTTTTTTTTTTTTTTACACTAATGACGATGATCAGCGACTTATAGTGGGACTGTGATAGTGTGACGGGCAATCTAACACCGGGTGGAAACTAACAGACATCACCAGTGACAGTAATACAGTGATTAGTGATAATACTATACACTGACACTGTACTAATGACACTGGGTGGGAAGGTGTTAACGTTTCGGGGTAATCAAGGAGTGTGTGCCTAACAAGTATTATATGCTGCTTTTTATTAAAAATCTCTTTGTTCCTTCTCCCTGTGTTGATTGTCAACACAGGGATCTGAATTGTGATTGGACACAGCCAATCAGCAGGTCTGGCCATGAAGCACTGGCTAAGACATACTCCGCTGTGTAACATTTATAGGTAATGTTGATCCAGGATATATGCCACTCGGGGGATCAGGAAGGAATTTTTTTCCCTGCAGGAGCAAATTGGAGCATGCTTTGCTGGGCTTTTTTTGCCTTCCTCTGGATCAACTGTGGATATAGGACTATAACTTTTTTTTTTTTTTTTTTTTTTTAATGGTTTAACTGGATAGGCTTTTTTTTTTTTTTTTTTTTTTTTTTTTTTTTTTTTTTTTTTTTTTTTTTTTTTTTTCAGCCAGACTAACTATGTACAATCACAGCAGGAGTCGGCTGGCGAGGGAGCATGCGTGTGCCCTGTACCCAGAAGGGGCCAGCGACGTACAGGTAGCATCGCTGTGCCTGTACGGGCCGCTTGTCTGCAGTACATTGCGGCTGGGTGGACCTTAAGTGGTTAATTTTTGAAAGCCTACATGACTTTTCAGTGATTGGGTTTACAAAAACTTTAAAAAAGAAAACTTAACCTCAACTAAAACTTTATTCAGTATATGAACGTGTTAGAATGTCTGTCAACTTTTTATTGCTGCTGATGTTCCAATTTGGAAGATGTGTGTAGGCTCACTAAGGATGACCTTGGGTTCAATTCAAACTCAGAAGGAAACTTTCAGTGCTGGACCAATCGGCAGCGGTAAAGGGAGGGATGCTCAGCCCAACAATTGCACATAGACAAAGGGATGCTCACGTCATCATTGACCTAACTAAGCCACAGTAACAGAAACCCAAAGGAAAACTTTAATCTGGGGTAGAGACAGAAATAAAACCTGACAGATGTTCTAAGTCTCCTTAGTTTTTTTAGGACTTTCTTCACTCCAGGTGTAGTGGGACTGAGCTGTGAAACCTCACCCAGGACACTGCCACTGAAGACAAGGCAAAATGTCCATTGGTGGTGTGCATGCAGTAATTTTTTCAGCACAGTGTGGTGAAACGCAATCCACTGCATCACACTGTGCGGCAGAAAATAGAGCTTTAAATGTCAAAAGTAAACCGCATAATGCCTACGGATCAGTGCATCCACACTACAGCTGTCCTGCCACACACCAGCAGCTATGTTCTAGCACAGCTTCAAGTGTGAATGAACCTTTCAAAAAAAGTTTTGGCTGGAGTTTTTGCTTTAATGAAAAGGGAATGAAAGTTTAAAAGTTAAAAGTTTAAAAATGTTAAATTATGTATTTTAAAGTGTAATTTTATTTCAAGTTGTTCGTAATTTTATCTCACTGTGTTTGTTATTTTACTTACGGTATGATGATTTTTCACTTCCAAAAAATGTAAATTTTTTTTGGTTCTGAATGTTTAACTCCACATTAACTAAAAAAGTGATGTAACATTTATAACTACTACTTAAGGAATTTTGTAATTAAATGTTATTAAATAACTTTTCTATATCAATCTGCTGCCTATTTTTTGAAATTGTCAAAACAGAAGGAAAGCTGTGGTGTTCGGGTGGCAGAATCAAAACCAGACAATTACTCCTCGTAGAGAGCCAGATGTCATATAGATTTTCATATACACTGTATTGGGCCTGCCCTCCAAATCATTGGATTCAGGTGTTCCAATCACCACCATGGACACAGGTGTATAAAATCAAGCACCTAGGCATGCAGACTGCTTCTACAAACATTTGTGAAAGAATGGGTCACTCTTAGGAGCTCAGTGAATTCAAGAATGGCACCATGATACGTTGCCACCTGTGCAATAAGTCCATCCTTGACATTTCCTTGCTACTAAATATTCCACGGTCAACTGTTAGTGGCATTATAACAAAGTGGAAGGAACTGGGAACAACAGCAACTCAGCCACCAAGTGGTAGGCCATGTAAAATGACAGAGAGGGGTGCTTTGTATGCTGAAGTGCACAGAAGTCGCCAACTGTCTGCTGAGTCAATAGCTAAAGACCTCTAAACTTCATGTGGACTTCAGATTAGCACAATAGTGCGTAGAGAGCTTCATGGAATGGATTTCCATGGCTGAGCAGCTGCATCCAAGCTTTACATCACCAAGTGCAATGCAAAATGTCAGATGCAGTGGTGTAAAGCACACCGCCACTGGACTGTAGAGCAGTGGAGACAGGTTCTCTAGAGTGAAGAATCACACTTCTCTATCTGGCAATGGACGTGTCTGTGTTTGGCGGTTGCCAGGAGAACGGTACTTTCCTGATTGCATTGTACCAAGTGTAAAGTTTGGTGGAGGGAGATTATGGTGTGGGGTTGTTTTTCAGGGGTTGGGCTTGGCCCCTTCATTCCTTCCTTCACTGGAACTCAAGGTGTCAGCATACCAAGACATTTTGGACATTTTCATGCTCCAAACTTTGTGGGAACAGTTTGGAAATGGCCCCTTCCTGTTCCAACATGACTGAGCACCAGTGAACAGAGCAAGGTCCACAAAGACATGGAAGAGCGAGTTTGGAACGTGACTGGCCTGCACAGAGTCCTGACCTAAACCCGATAGAACACCTTTGGATTGAATTACAGTGGCGACTGCGAGCCAGGCCTTCTCGTCCGACATCAGTGCCTGACCACACAAATGTACTTCTGGAAGAATGATCAAACATTCCCAGAAGAGTTGAAGCTGTTATGGCTGCAAAGGGTGGGCCAACTCAATATTGAGCCCTACGGACTAAGACTGGGATGCCATTCATGTGCGTGTAAAGGCAGGTATCTTAATACTTCTGGCAATATAGTGTAGGTATGCACTGGTTCTTCACCTGACCTGAATGTCTAAAGTCCTCAGTCTCCTTAAAGAGACACTGTTACCTTGCCAATTCAGGGTAGTTGGTAGCCTGGCACTAAATTT